TGAGCAATAATGTTTTGAACATCATACTCAATGAAATAAAGTGAAGTGCTTTATTCGCACCATATTTAGATGAGCTGATCGACCCTGAGTCGTGTTCCTTGCTACTTGTCTAAATTATCTACATAAAAATCCACAGTTTCAAATACTAGTCCTTCCTCTCATTGTCACTGAGCACCATTGCACATGGCGAAGATGTCTTACTAATAGTAACGAATTTTCTCCATGATTAGGAACTGCAGTGAAAGAAGTTGGTGGGTTTTGTACAGACGGGGCACCATCCATGTTCAGCGTTCGTTCCGGATACAAAACATTAGTCAAGCAGGTTGTTTCGCTCCCTACCTTTACACACTTCATTATACACCGTTAAGCTTTGGAAGTGAACTTCGTCCACTTGTTTGCTGGACGCATTTACGCATAGTGGAAACTATAAATCTCATCAGCGAAAGTGCTACAAGAGTTTTCAAAGAGCCGTGCAGTGAGATTGAATTCAAGTTCGTCCTACTGTTAGTCCACACAGAAAATTCCCAGAGACAAGGTGCTCGAGCTTCAAGAAATAAGTACTGCGTTTCAATAAACAAGTGCTCAAAAATAGTCGTTTTTAGTCGAGTGATCGAAAGTAATTAACATTTTCCTCTATTTAAAGCGAAGTATACAATAGTTACTAGGTAGTGAGCTTTTAAACCAAAGATTATATAGGGCAATTGTTTATAGTGAACCCTCAAAAAAGTTGAGAACCACATAGGATAGGGCTTCCGTCATTTAGTTTGGTCACACCCATAGTGTTGGAGAGACCAAACAGCCTGATGCTGGGCGCATTTTCTCGGCATTATGCAGGAGCCTGCCAACAATTTAGCTTGCTCAGCGAATTCTCCCGCGCTTTGGTTGTCGAACTAAATACCCACTCAAATGCATAGGAGCCGTTTGATCAGCAACATATGTAATATGGTTTCGGAGGTCAAACTACCAAGGGAGTCAGAGACGTCAAGCCCGGCTGAGCCTACGTATCAGCCAGGACGCCAGAGCAGCAGACATCATACGTACTTGGCATATATGATTGGAAGTTTACAGCCGAAATATCAGTGTGACAGCATATGTTTGAATTATAAATACTATCATGACTAATCCTAATGAATTATCTCTGGCGAGCTGAATTGCCTTATCTGTTTTTCCTCGACTGAGTTGGACGCGACACTAGGCAATGAGCGAAGACAGTTCAGGGTTACGACAAGAAGCGTTTACGACACATAAGTAAATAGTTGCATATCGGTCACCGCCAATACAACTGAGGAGACAAGACGAAGTACATGATCTACCAGCTTTTGTCTTCTTACTGCATTGTCCAAATTGCTAAAGGGAACTAACCGTATCAACTACAGTCGAACCCGCTTTATGGTCCACCCGGTTTATGGCCACCCCGCTCTATTGCCCAGATTTTCAAAATACAAAATTTTTCTCGTAAATATGCCAAATTTTTGCCATATAATTGCCCATTTCCGAGGGCGTCCCCAGCTTCATTGCTTAGCTGACTGGGCTGTGTTCTTGTCGCCTTGTCAATCTTATGTCTTCACTCCGACTATCTGTTATTACGATTGCCCCACAGTTGACCAGCCCGATCGAGTCAAGAACAACAAAAATGGCAGCGGCGTTATTGACAGCTAAGAAAAGGTTACCTACGTCATTCAATACACGAGCAAGCTAAATGTACGGACAACTGTGGGCAAGCCCTCGACCCTTTTCAAAACTCTTGAACTGAGCAAAATCAGGTAATCTTTCCGCTCCACATTTGTCTGTACTCTGTTGGTTACCCACAAGTATGGCCAGTAACAGAAAGGAATTATTCCTGACAGAAAATTCGGACGTTTTGAACCAAATTAACTCTTATCCACGAGGAAACTCGCAGGCTAAGTTGTCACGTGGTTTACACCTTTCTCATCGTACCCTAGCCAGGTTGATTGCCGGCGAAAAGGAACTCCGGCAAGATTTGTCGCACGGCACTGCGAGCTCTCAGAAAAGGAAGCGATGTGGAAAGGATGCCGAGGTTGAAATTGCATTGAAAGACAGAGTTATCAGTTTGTGAGCACAAGCAAACGGTTGCAGGCCGCTTCTGAAGAAAAAGGCAGAAGAATTCGGAGAAAGACTTGGAAAAACCTCGGCTACCACAAAAGGATGGTTGCAAAATAGAAGCATAGAAATCAAATTAGGTATAATCGCGCGCATGCCGAAACGAGTTCCGTGGACAGAGCAGTCTGTGAAAATTGGCTGAAAGATAGACTTCCTAAACTTTAAAGTGCATTTGATGATGGCAGCGTGTACAATGCAGACGAGCGCGCTTTATTACCGAGCAACTCTAGAGGGCTTTTTGTGTTTTTCTGCCGACAGGCTCAGCGGTTCGAAAACAGCCATGGATAGGATCACTCTCCTGTGATGCACAAATATTTCAGGCACGATTAAAAGAAATCCGGTTTTAATTAGAAAGAGTAAGAAACCACGATGTTTTAATGATGTGAACGTGACCGCACTTCCCTTAAGTTACAGTACTAAAAAAATGCGTGGAAGACGAAAGAACTTCTCTCTGAGTGTGTCCTCGAATGGGACAAGGAATTTCGCCAAAATGGCCTAAAAAGTATGTCGATCTCGGATGATTGCATAGCGCATCCACAGATAGAAGGCCTGAAATATATTCAAATGGAATTATGCCGGCGAACGCGACCAGCATTCTTCAACCCATGGACTAAGATGTGATTTTAAGTCTGAAAATTCGTTACAGAAAGGAAATTATGGACCGATTTGTTTCTCACATCAAAAACAACGTGTTATCTGCCTCCTCGTCTGTGGTGGGTGTCCGCACAAAGCTTTCTGTGCTCGATGCAATTAATTTCGTTACAATAACTACAAATGCTTGCTTTCGGCGTGCTGACTCCAGTCGGCTGGCATCCGACGCACATTCTGATTAAGCCGTCATCGCTGAGGAGGAGATCAGCGCTTGTACAATTTCAATCATCAATGCAGCATAGTTCGTCGCCATTCACAACGATGTGGAGTGTACCTTAGGTCTGACAACTGTTGCAGATGAAACCCGCAGTAAAATTTTTAGAGAAACAACTAGGACAGAAAGGAGGCAGAGACTCAGAAAAAGACCTGCCGGATGCTTCCGTAAGTGAAATGGATCAGTTGCATTCAAGAGCAAAGAGTTATGCGAATGGGCTATATAGCTAAGGAATTTACATGGGTTAGGCAGCGGTTTCTTGTCCAACTTGGACTGCAACCGTGCAAATGTGAATGCAGTAGCAGCTCAAATTAATGCACAACTTGCGGTGGATTGTTTTCTCAGCGAAAATATACACGAGCACCAGTTTCTGCTGCTATGCAGGTAAGATGCCTTATGTTATAATTTTTATATTATACGTCGTGCTCTTCTGAATAAATGTCTTTTGTAGGCTTTACTTTCAAATACATATTTTATCCTTTTAAGTACATTACGCTTCAAGTAATAAACTGTGCAATAATGCAATGCTTGATTAAATTTGGAAAAATGACAATGTCGGTTAGTTGCCCACCCGCTTTATTGCCAACTTTTGAAGCATCCTGATGATTGGCAATAAAGCGAGTTCGACAGTATCTTCCAAATTACCCGCCTGAATTATTCTTATCCATGATCCGTCTCACCCTATACCAGCTACTGAAGGGAACTTTCTAATAAGGGAGCGAACTCCAAACTGAATCTAGGATATACTGACTTACTTAGACATGAGTGCGTAACATGTGGAAAGAACATTTTGGTTTCCTCAGCCGTAGCTTATCGAACTTCCCTAATATGTGTGTATTTGATCGGAATGTAAGCAGCCATCTAGTGCCAAACTTCTGAAACTTCTTAATCGTTATTATACTAACGCATGGAATCGGCTTCAATACCCCAGTATCGCAATATTGCAAGCTGTTTCTGTGCTTCTGTACGGGTACAGGTCTCTCACTGTTCTTTGTGTATGCCCGTAACAGCTGACTACTCATCTTGCGTCGTTTTATCCCAATGTTCAACCTCAGGGATCTTACGTCGCTCTGAACTGAGTACTAATAATATGGAATATTTATGACTCCATGGAACCGCTTGCGCTGCTTTATCTTAAAGGGTTAAGCTTCCTTGCTGGCCTTTTTGGATGCGGGACATTGTGAATCGATACGAGAAGATGATTACGTACGTTTACATGTGCTCACATTCGAACTGTGGGTTTTGAGTGTGCATTTTACCTAACCTAGTTTAGCCAGTCAATGAAGACGCATCACGCAATGGTGCGCTGGTGCAATGGTCTAGTCCTTGCATGGTTTTGCGCAGAGTTAACTTTTCATCTAGATTTGTACGCTTTAAAGGCGCTTTAACTCTTCTTCAACGCACTCTGTGCCGACCCTTCGCCGCCACCCGACTTCATTGGTAACGCGCGGGCTATGTTCACCCCCAGGTCGACCGCACCTGCGCGGATTCGAACAGGTGACCTTCGGATTGCAAGCCAAGCGTGTGATCCTTTGGCCGCCGGCCGACTTGTAACGCTTACCTACACTTCCAGTCAGGTTCCGGGCTATTATCATCTCGTGACTCTTGAGCGCCATAGGGGCATAGTCATTTATAGCCAGAAAAAAACCCCGCATATTGCTAACCTGATTGCTCCAGCTGTGTGTTGTGACCTGGACCTTCTCTTCTCATAGCCAGTACATCGTTTCAATACATATCTACCGTCTCCAATATAAGGACCTGTTGGTTATTTGCTGGGACACTGTGCGGCAGACTATGGACACACTGAGGTATTTGTAGACGAATTGTCCCTTACTGTCGTTATGACCGTGTCTCCTATGTTGATCCAGAAAAACGGGTGATTTCCTGCTAATGGCATTGCTCACGCGGCACATATACTTGGAAAGATTTCCTTCTTTAAGACGGCTTCATGTCCAGGAAAATTGCCTTAGATGTTTATCGTGCTGCTATTGATCTCTTTTTTCTCTTATTCTAGGTATATCGTGGCGGCGAAGGAATGGGCATACGTTTGGACTCGGCGTCCACTTTCGCTGGTGCGGTAGTCTCTCCGTATTATGATTCCTTGCTGTTCAAAGTGATCGCTCGAGCAGCGACCTTTGAACAAGCAGCAAAAAAGATGTTACGATCCCTAAGGGAGACGCGAATTCATGGAGTGAAAGTTAGTGTCCATTTTGCCTCATTATCACATGCCTTTTATTATTGTTCGCATATGACAACGGTAAATGCCAAATGGATTATTTCCGAAAATCAGACGCTTCCGCTTGGCACCAAACTTAATTTCTTCTTTCGGGTGACAATTGTTACACTTGCACTTACACCTTCGACAACCTGGCTGGCATAGCAGCTAACCTAGTTGGTTGTACGCGGTTCATTGGTTGTGTTCAAATTTAATCATTTTCTCTATGCACTGATAAAGTGGAAACGGAAAAGTTGCACGTCTGTTAATGCGGATACCTCGCAAAAAATAGACACCTCTGTAGCTGATGAACGTTGTGTTGTCCGCTAGATGCGCTACTTTCCAAGACAAGGCTTGCGATCGTCAGCCAGGCAGTCTTGTGACTCGTACCCGAGACGTGCAGATGTCAGCTGAAGTCTCTTCTCTTAATTCAAAGAGTCGCAGTGTGCAACCTTTGATCTACCTGACCGCGATTCACATGGAAAATGAATCACGATCCCGTTTGCGATCACGTGTTGCGCCCCATTCATGCATCGCATGCTTTAATGACCCAAGTAATGTGGCAGTACCTGCTAGGACAAGCGTTGCCTGCGACTCAGTGACCTTGGGGTAACGACATTAATAGGGATCGAGTCGATGCCATGCTGTGTATACACCTATCGAGAGCAGCTAATCATGAGGACGGTCGTTGAATAGTGTATCGAGTTCGATGTACTTAGTACTTATCTGCTTCAGATTAGGCCCCCGTGACCTAACTGACTAATGTTCCCTTCAATTTGAATTGCGGTCCACATTGAGATTACGCGCCGCAATCCATTCGCACAACGACTGCTTTAAAACGACCCCCTATCAGTCAGTAGCCGTTATGGCAAGCGCTAGCCGCTACGGCTCGGTAGCTTAGGAAAGGAAGCTGCTGCCGTCAATGCCGCGATTTGGGGTCCCAGTTGTACTAACTTTATCCGATGAGTGAAACCAAAACGTGACATTAAAACGAGACTGTTCGTACAGTGCAGTGTTACGAACTGGAAACACCCAACTATTTGGCTGCATTACTGTTGTGTCAGTTATCATTCTTAAAACTGATCAATTTGATTCTAAACCTGTTAACGTCACAGCTTATCAGATATGCTCTTTGCGACACTGCCGGTGTGAATTGGCTCAAACGAATCTGAGATAGCGGCGTGTATTTCCCATATATAATTACTCCTTCACGGTATACGCCTTGAGCGCCAACATAAGGCCCCTTTCACCCATCATTCGTAATTAGCGGCCAAAACTGTATTGTGTACTTCTGCTGGCACACCCATGCTGTTTTCGTGATGCACTGTTCTACCTCCTTTAGTAAGTGCGAAAAGTTCAATTTACCTTTTTGACACAGTTCGGTAGCTTGGTCAGCAGCAGGATGCCAAAAGGAAATGAAAGCATGTATTCCGATTGCTTTCTTTCAATGCTCCCAAAACTTAAACTCAGAAGAACAGAGGAAGCCAAGTAGAGATCTTGCTCCTTAGATGGTAGGCTGTTCAAAGTTCAATGATCGTTGGCTTGTTAGATAGAGCTTTTGAATGATGGTCAATATAGCTGTTGGATCGTCAGCTGATTAAGGGTAAAGTTCTAGCAAAGTTTATGTGGCAAAATGTAAAATCGTGTCCTACAGTACCAACTGGGTTTCCTTCCATTTTGTTTCCCAATCAATCGCAAACTCATTTATGCAGACCCTATAATTGGATGCGAGATGAGTCAGAATGACCCAATCCAGTGGCGCAGAAATTTGTGTCGCCGACAAATTGACGGTTGTCCCACACTAGAACCTTAGGCTCTCCAGCTTCCACCAAGCAAGCATTAGTTTTTTCGGTACGTAATTATTGGACATATCCGGCAATAACCATAGTCAATGCAACTCATTACACCTCATGCAATGGCCCAATGAACTAGCCTGGTTTCATCTGTCTGGATTTCGTTGCCGGTACTTGTCAATAATGATCGATTATTTTTTAGAGTCAGGGACCTTTTCATTCGGCTAGCCCTCATTGTCGTTCTGTTTACGCGAACTTTTTGACCAGCTGAATTCTCTTCAGGGTACCACAGCTTTTGAAGCAAGTGAACCATCTTCATTGGTCACCTACCCATTATTGCGCACCAGCGCTTTGCGTCTTTCACTTTCCGTACGCATATTAAACTTATTGGCTTGTACCGCCTCATTGCCATCTAATAGAAAGATTAGGTTATTCGCGTGCACCCGAATACCTTTCCACCATCGATGGAGGCTCGGCGCCTATACTACTAGATCCCATGGTGGATGCTAAAGAATGGTTTGGCGGATAGAGGACAACCATGACCAGCGTCAACTATTGTGGATTATGCGTCTGATAGCTCGATGTATACTATAATGCAACTTGGAAGCGCTAACATGCTTCACTAGAAACCCGGATTCATGGTGTCTTTTGTTGTATTCGTAAAAGTATGAAAGTCTACTGCAGCAAAATTTGTTCATCAGTTATTTCATCTGGTAGCAAAGTATCAGCTTACATTCTGCTTACAGAGCTTCACCTAGCCCTTAAACTCGGAAAGCGAAATAGGTTATCACTAAAATGCTTCTGGATAAAATTTACAATACCCTTTCCTCATTCTCTGTTTATCTCTATATGCATCATTTCTTTGCTTGCCCTTGCATTTGAGTTTTTTTGAGTTATTCCGACAATTTCACATTATCCCCTTGAATTTTTCTATCTCGGCCGATTCTCTCCTCGTTCTCACCAATATAAACAGCCATAGGTCTTTAGATCCACGTCGATCGGCTATGGTCATTTTCCGGCCCTTGATAACCGACTTATTGGCATCGTGTTTGGCATGGTGTCTACTCCCCCAGCTCCCTTTATGTAAAACACAGCCGAAAATGTTATCTGTTTGCGCACGGATCGCTGGTGGATTCTCGTCCATGAAATGCTTGCTTGACAAGACAGAAAGCAGTATTTTATATCGAATACATAGCACATGGACTCAGACAGTCCGAATGATTAGATTAGCACTCAGGGGCGCTTGTGTCCTATATGTATTTGTCAAAAACACTAATATCCTCTAAATGGTAAGTGACTCTCGACCGCACCTTATCTCTACATAGTATGAAATCTAGTCATTTGGTCAAGGTGGTTGGCGATATGCCTATACGAATACTTATGGTGTGACCTGACCCAATACTAATCTTATGTCCGCTGCCGTGTGGAACTTTGGTTGACCGTCCGACAGACACCATCACAGCCACCAGCCACCAACGAACCACACTATACGCCGGTTTCACATTCGCTTCCACAGCGTACGTAAAGTTACACTTACTGCCTGATTGTTCTCCAAAACTTATCGGTTTCTCGAATGTAACTTTTGACATAGTGTTACTAGTTGGATTATTTTATGCTACTCTTTATCTGCTTTCACCTCAGACCAACATACCCTTTCTGGTGAATGTGATCAGTCACGAACGGTTCCTGAATGCGGCTGTCGACACGCACTTTGTCGATGAGCACCCAGAGTTGTTCAAGCTACCGAAAGCGCAGAAGCGAGCACAGAAGCTCTTGAATTACATAGGCAAGTCAACAGAGGTATTTTAATTCCTCTTAAGTCTCTTGGAATGTTGGATGGTTTCAATTAATGTTTATGCTATTGGGGACATAGGCCTAATGTTGCGCTGGGCGCACAATTTTTCCAATTATTTCTTTTCCCGGCCACCGTACATTAATTAAATGAAGCAATCCAAGTATCTTAGATCCTGTAATAAATACTTGTCCTGAAATGGCTTCATGAAGTTTCCGCCATGATTAGACTGAATCTTTACTTGCTACCGGTTTTGCATCTGCAGATGTCTTCAGACCGACTCATAGCGAACATTTCCTTGGTTTTACACACCATACAATTTTGAAATCTAACAATCTAACAAATCTACACAACCATCACAATCCAATCAAAACTGTTATAAACTGTGCCTGCAATCCATGATAATCTGGTCTTAATTCAACTTCTCACGCAGCATCATAAAATGTCTCACTTAAAGTTTCACTGGGCTCACAAAGGTATGATCTGCTTGCCAGTGTGCGATCGTTCTCTGGATTGAATGGTTGCGAAATGTACATCCAACGAAGTTTTGGACTGCTGCACAAATTTGGCCTACACGAAGATCTGGCAAGCTGTTCCAGACATTTCTCACTCTCCTTCCGAAGCACAGGGGTGGGAAACTCGCTTTCTTCCGGTACCACAAGCTTCTACCGGTGTCTTTGTGCATTGCAGGGCGTTCGCAAATGTAGCAGCGGCCGCAACATGGGGAAGTCACCACAGTGTAATACGGTAGGTCAAGGTGTAGGGTCATAGTTTTTCGCACCGGTTTTCGTACGAAAATTCTGGCACACTTGGAATAAGTCTTGTAGCGACCTGTTGGACTAGTTCGATCTTCTCTGCTTCGCCTCGGGTGATTGGGCAGTAGGCAAGTGGGTCGTACTCCAATATTCTTCTTATGATGAATGAGAATAGGCGAGTGGTTACCTCTTCATACCAAGTACAGAAGCTGCGTTTGGTCCCCAAAGCATGAGCAGTCAGTTAGGATATAGGCTGTTTGTGTTATCAACAGACTTCAAATCGCAGCGCGCGAGTACACCTAAGTTCCTTACAGAAGGTGTTGGATGTAGCGGTTGGTCATCAGGGGTGCAACTTCGACCTTCACCACTCTGCTTCTAGTTCATAAATGCCGACTTAGATGGCATGTCCGGGAGGCGGACTTCCGTATACCATATGTAGAACCAGTTGAAATCTCGCTGAAATAAGCTACACTCGTCTGGGGTGCTAAGCACTATCGAAGTCTTCAAGTCTTCCGCAAACAGGGCACACGGTGACCGAAGAAGCTGAAGCAGATCGCTGATGTTTATTAGGAATAGAGTGTGCCCCCTCACCGTGCCTCTGAGTACTCCATTAGTAGAAGGATACCAGTCAGTTAGATGGTCCTCGACCTGTACCTTCTACTTTCGCATAACGAGGAAGTCCTGGATCCGCTTGTGTAGTGACCCACTACCACATCACATTCTTAGCTTGTAAAGAAGGATCTCATGGTTTACCTTGTCAAACACTTTACTGAAATAGATGTAAATCACGTCGACAGACTTCCCTTAATTTACTGCCTTCAACCATTTACGCCGCATCACCAGTAGGTTGGTAATGCATGAGCGGCCTTGCATAAAACCAGGCTGCGCTGATATCTGTACATCGCTGGTGTGGAGCAGCTATAGTAGTCAATTCTTCAAGATCTTCTCGGTAATTTTGACCAAAATAGGTGTCAGACGAATCGGCCTTTAATTGTTCACTTTGCCAAGGTTACTGTCTTTCGGAATCGCTTGACCACTAAACTTTTCTATTCGCTCGGCAATAAACCTTCGGATATTGACCTGTTGAGCAAGTCGGTCACAGCAGGTGAGATATTGGCCGAGAAGGACTTGAGAATCAGTGGGTGGAGTCCGTCAGGGCCAGCATATTTGGTGCACCTCTTCATCACCGTAAACCAGATTGTGTTCGGTAAGCGCGGTGCAAGTGGAAACCGGTAGAGGCATCTGGTCATTTGCAAATACGGAAACAAGTGCACTGTCATGGCGGACGCGGTCAGCATTTCGAACCGGATGAGTTTATTCGAAAAGACTTTGAGGACTGACTCCGTTACCTCTAAGCCTCTCGTGCGTCAGTTAATGGTTCTGGCCTTTTTCACTACTTTTCTTCACAGAGTTCCTCCCTTTATCCTTTGGGATTCCAACTGCTACTGTTAAGATAGCGACATAAACAGTGAAAATTGCGCATATCGCAATTCGTATTCCTTTGTTTTCTGAGTTAGATCAAACGAAGCTGTCCTCATCTATGATTAGAGGAGAATGCTCAATATCCGGGTCGTCTCAGCATTTTCGTTTGAGCGATGGTTGTCGTTACGGACGTATTCCTGATATTTCTGATGAAATTGTTTACTTTCGACGCAATGCTGCATGATTTCATATACCGGACACGTAGTACACCATATGAAAAAATGTCTTTAAGGACCGAATCCCTCTCAAACAATGGTTCGTTCATTTTTTAAATGAACAGCATGCTAATTCTTCGCTCCATTCACCAGGTATCTAAAGTTCCAAACATATTATATACTCACAGTAATGTCTGATAATCATCTTGTCACACACCATCGATCAAGCTAGCTGCTCCCAGTAACAGCTCCGACGTCGCTTCTTAATCTGAGAATTAGCCGGAGCCCAAGATGTATATGTGTAAAACGATCATCTGACTACAGTTGCATTACGTAAGGTACTAATTAAGGCGTAGTTGATGCACCCATCTTCGTAACTATCGCTGCCATATCTGCACTTGGCAACTATCCTATTAGGGGTATTTCGCTATTCACGTTTGTCTCTACATCGCACAAATCATTCGTAGACTTTGTCAATAATGATATGTCTGTTTCTCATAATGGTGGGACACGGTGCAGTGCACCCGGTTCTATCAGTATGTACAGCTTGCCTTCAAAACTATCATTGCAAATGGGTTACTCATCAGCTTCGAGTTTTGTTTCAAATATCATATCAGTCATATATTTCCTATGAAATTGTCATTCTTAAATAACAATGATCTCATCGCAAATTCGAACTAATTGCGGTCTCGTACGCCGGAAACAGAAGCAAGCGAGTAAGTATAAGTTCACTATAACTCAAATATTTTGTAAGAATTTACAAAGGAAGCTTGAACTTGTAAATACAAATTACGTGTGGATGATCTGGCTAGGAGTTATATATATATATATATATATATTTATATATGGCTTACCGTGCTTGCCATGTCTTGCTGAGGTTGACTTCGCGTTCCTTATACTTCTTCACCGCAGTTTGGCTAAAGCAGCTTACACTTAAACTAGGTCTTTTTAAGTTAGATAAATTTCATCCCACTTTGTTTGGTTTATTCTGCCTACCTGAATAATATTCTGTTAACTGGCCACGTTGCTTACGATAATCGCGCTTATCTTCAATAGCTTTGTTGTGTTTGTAGCATTTTTAAGTAACTTGTGGACATTTTTTACTTATCGCGGATTCGTTGCTAACCAACTTACTTCGTATGCTAATTTAGAGAAGAGTTCCAACACCGTATCTGTATGCATTATTGCATTAATTTTGTTTCATCTTCGTTTCAAGTGATTGGCTGTTGCTTGATATTCCCGGTATGGCTGCGCTTGATGTGTATGTTGACAAGGTGCCTACCTGTCTATTACCCACTACATCTTTCATACTGGCTCCAGGGGACAGTTGGTCGTTGCTGGAGGGGACGGGGTGCACGGTTCTTGTGGCCGTGCTAGGCTCAAAGAGCGGCTCCATGCACTCACTGTGGAGCGGACCACGGTCCAGCCACCGCCTTGTATGCGCTTGACTCCACAAATACAGCGTGCTTGTGTTTGCCTGTGAAGGAGTGTGGGCCGGCTCCGTTGATGAAACGCCGCTCCCACCAACATGCCTGCAGGTCTTATTCCTTCGGGTTTACACTGGATATGGGGTGTGTGTTTGGAGCTGTGGGTAGTGCGGCGCAAGCCACCCATTGTCCCTCTGTAGGCGCAGGCGTCCTGTGGCTGGCCACAGTGACAGGCAAATCCGAAACCGGATGCCGCCAACCATGCCTTGCCGAATAACCTCCTCATGGCGTCAGCTGGATGGTTTGGGTTTTTCTTGTTCCAGCAAATATTTCGGCGGCAGTGTTTCAGGACGTGGTGGGTTTTCACCTGGCAAGCGTTCTCCCTATAAAATGCCACGTATGCCCGTGTGACCAGACTGTAATGTGGCGGACGTAACTCGACAATAAATACAGTCAATGTCTTTTTCTTCATCCTGGCGAAGCGTTGTATTCCACCAAGTTTATACTGTGATTTTGGGGAGCATTGGGCCCCTGTTTGATAAAGGAGCAAACGAAGGGCGTGTGAACTGATCAATCAGTCACCGGCTCCCAATGGGCGCGATTCCCTGAATTCGCTCCGCTGCCTTGCGGGCAGGCTATTCAGCCATAGACTCGGGGTGGTGTCCCCTAAGTCAACACCCTACTTTGGCTAAGGCAACCGGGTAGTATCTTGCCCTCTGCCGAAACAATGGACTTTGATGTGCTGTGTTGTGTCTTATTTTACTATTTCTGTACCTTCTTTTGAGTTTCATGGCCCAATGTCTATTCATAGAATGTTGCAATATATATACATATACATATACACATATATACAGTTATGTAAAACGGCACATACTAGGTCTAGTTAGCTGGAAGCGTTAGTGCACATTATGTTATTCTATTTAACGGGGAATATTTTATCAAAGAGTTTATAGCACTATGTTGAAAGTTGTGTTTGTGACCTGTGGGCACGATGGAACTTAGACAAACCAATTGGGCTGTATGAGGGAGAAAATGCAGAACCCAAACTTGATAGACCGACAGCGCTTGAAACTTAGGTTCGGTAGGTAATCGGGACAAGAGAAAATCAATTTGATGTTTAAGATATCTTAGGCTAGGCTTGAATAACAGTCCTCCCAATGCTGTCAATGTGTCGG